CCTGAAAGAAAACCGATTCAAGAGAAAAATCAGGACTGTGCCCTGCAGCTCTATCTGAAGTCGACTACACGGGATCTCCGTAGCGCCACAAGTTGGACGCCCGCGAACATGCCAGACTTTCTGGCGGGCGTCTATTGTGGCGTTATTTCATTGCTGGAGCAATGAAAAATGAAGCAGTATCATGCATTGATCTAAACTTACCCTTCCGTTACATTTGTTGGTACGAACGGTGGAAGAGGCACAAGATGTCGGAATGCTCGCGCCAACTGAGGAGCGGAAACTAAAGTGAGGCGACAGACGCGACACTCAGCCGGTAATGAACAATGCCGGGCTCCGCACTGTTCACACAAGAAACCGCGAGAGGTGGATAATGGCGCGGACATGGGATGACTAAAAGAAGTAATAGAGTGACAAAGTGCTTCTAAAAAGCACAGTTAAAGCAGCAATTCAAATCAAACAAGGTCGCGTAGACGTGAAAGATTTATGATTTTGACAAATCTACTAGGTCTGCCAAACTGAATCAAAGCAGAAAACCTACCATACGCAGAAAGATCGTTCTTTGATGTTGATGTGTGGAGGAAAAGCAACACGGATAGCATTACATTCAGCAGCTTTCGTGGAAGGAGGAGGAACGGTATGTTGTGACAACAAAACATCCATATGTTCTGGATCCAGCACCACGTCATATCGACCTGCGTAATTCATTTACTGTCATAGCATACTTGCAAAGAAAATTCGATTACCATTGGTAACTTTTGCAAGCTGCTTACACACAAATAGTTCCGCACCAAGGCCGATCACTGAACATCTTATATTGTGACCTCGAAGAAGCTAAAAGCACTACTCGCACAGTTATAGCTTGCTTGAAAAATCGCTATGATCACCTCAAAAGTTGAGAAGATGTTGCCAGGATCCACGGTAGAAAGACTGGACATTATGACAATCACTTCGCGCGAAACATGACCAGGTAAACTTCTTAACGATCTTTATGACAAAGCGAATGGACGTCGTGCTGACAAGTTAAGGCGTGAAAGTTAATGGACAGTTAGATATATGAAATGTATGGATATCTAATCAATTAATTCATACTTCAGATTAGTTAAAGCAAGTTGTAGAGCATTTTGAAGAGAGAAATCTCCGCTACAAATAGCCTCATTGACGGAATTCAGATGCTCCTTCAAAGTTCGAACATTGCCTATA